TCAAAGGTGTTGTATTAGGAAGAAATAAAAGAGTTTCCACGATTACCAAACTTCTGTAATTGGGCGCTACACTTGGCGATAACCTCGCATGGCGCTCACGAGAAAAGCGGGAATATGTAGTTTCCCTTCAGTGTGTTTAGTAACGTGCTGGAGGAATTATTGTAAAAAAGTAATAGTTTTGTGGAAAATTTGTATGATGGATGTACAAACAATTTTTTTTTTGTTTCAGGGACACGAGCCAGTGATCGACGGTGTCTTGAGGTCACCAATAAAAGTTGAAAGTGCAACATGGGTTCTTGAAGATCGAAAAACCGTTGTAGTCACATTCGAAAAAGTGAGCCAATTTTTAAGGCTTTGAAATGCTGAGCTACAGTATTGGTGTATTATTGCTCATACAATGGGTATTCCTAATCGGTACTGTGTATTTTGCATTGTCTGTTTGTTTCGGTTGTTTCAGACGACCTACTTCGGTCCTTCTAGGATTGCTGTTTCATCCCGATTAATTGGTACTATTTGCATATTTGCAAGTTATACTTGGGGATTTATTTTTCATGATTATCTCTATGACAGGAACAATCGATAATCTCACGAGTAATTGCCACTGGCAATTTATTCGCCTCATTTTCAAGTGCTTATGCCTCCTGTAGAGAGTAAAATATGGGATAGGTCTGATTTCTTGATCATCTGAATTCAGTGTGGGGAAATGTTCTATTTTTTATGCGTATTTTGAATAGTTGTTATTTGTCGTTAGGTTCCTTATCTGAGCCCACAACTTTTTCACGGCTAGGCGTAAGGCTTTTGGCCTACTGCAAACTTTTGTAGATCAAAAGGCCAATCCACTCCTTACGTATTTACGCACAGAGATAGTCCTACTCGATGAGCACATAAAAGATTAAAATTAGCGAAAGTTTGAAGCAAAAAGATATTTCCCTAACCAGCTCCCTTAATAGGTCTTGTAGGGTTTTTTTTATAAGCGGATTTGTGCTGATCAAAAAAAAAAAAAAAAAAACACAAATGTTGTTTGTTCTGTGAGGTTACAAACAAAAAAGAATCCGTTTAGCGAAATTTCCATTAAAGGAGAAGCTAGAAATCGACGAAAAATGTGCAATTCCTTTAACGAAAAATATGCAGTTACCTCTAACTTGGCGCTTGACTGGTGCATCAGCTCGTTGAACTTACGGATAGGCTTATCTACCGTAGACGAGCAAATCGGTTATTTAACGAATTAAGTACAGCAAGAAAAAAACAGGAGGAATACTTTTTGTCGATGTACAAGACATTTTTTCCAAAATTAGCATAGCATCGATTGTGGAAGTTTCTGTTTTCAAATCCACTGCATTACTGCTTAGTTCCATTTTATCGTTGTGAAATGCTTGCTGTGGAGAGAAAGCCATGGAACAGGACATAATATTTGTCAGCAAATTTGCAGCTGATTTGGTGTGAGGGGAATTATCAACCTGAGGAGGAACGACTGGGTTGGTCGTGTACAAAAATGAGAGGCACTTGTGAACAGCAAACCAACAGATAGTACTTACACAAAGCTAAATAAACAGAAAGGGCTCGGGCACGGTAAAAAATCAGTTGGGATGCATATATGGAATTACGTGGATGAGAGATACTTAAATGGGAAAATAAAGAAACTGCTAGTTGTAACAGCGACAAGTGTGAAAAGACGATAAAGCAACGATTGATCAAAATATCGAGCAATGTCCCGTCTAGCCAACACTGTAGATAGTAAATTCTTCACTTTGTTAAGTTCTGGTGCTCCTTGGTATGTGTAACTTCACAAGAAACTCCAGTGGTTTCTCTCTCACATCACAAAAATTACAGATTAACAGTATGGAATGGTGGAACCGACTGGTAACGACAGATCCCGAAATAAATACGAAAAAAGTGCAGCCTGAGAATTCGAAACTCTCTGATTTGGACGGCGAAACAAGACAAATGGTTGAAAAG